CGAGCGTCAAAAAATATTGATTAGATCAAAAGTTATAAACAGAAGAAGTTTATTTATGACTTTTGAATTAAACATTTATAAACTGCGTTATTATTACCAGAACGTTTTGGCATCGCATCCTCTCATTCCTTATCACTGTCTAATAACTCACACGAAATCTGGAATCGGTAAGTTGAATAGTTTACAAGTTATGGCCTTATAAACAAATTAACTAATTATTAGTCTGGACGATCCCGAGCGTCTTCTACAATCGCACTGATTTTTTTCGTGCTAGATTTCATAATAATACATTGAAATCTATATATTTTTTTTTTAGATAATTTGCAACCTGGAAAGTTTTTTTAATTTTTAGTCTTAGTTGCAAAATGAGAAATACGACGCATGCGCGTGATATAGTTATATATTATTACATATCCGGAAAGCTTATGAAAAGAGCTTTAAGTTAAAAAAAAAATCGTCAAGATTCGTTGAACAACAACGGAGTTACAGACTTTCAAATATATTATTTTCAAGCGAATTTCGCTTTTTTTAACGGCAGGGCTATGAATATTATCCTCATTTTCTTTGGATTCGCTGTCGTTCGCTTCCCTCACCCTTCCGCAGTGCCACGGCTCGCCGAAAAATCAAACGACCCACACACTTTTGACAATATTTCTTATGCACTTAACATACTTCCACAAATAAAATATTTTCATCTGGGAAAGTAGTCGGGTTGCTGGTTATGACAGCCGCTACCAACCTAATTTGTTTAACAATAGGTCGTCAACTTTGACAGTCTGTAACTCCCTTGTTTTTCAATGCATCTTGACGATTTTTCTTTAACTTAACGCTCTTTTCATAAGTTTTCCGAATATGTAATAATATATAACTATATTTCATTCTGCAACTAAGGCTAAATAAAAAAACTTTCCAGGTTACAAATTTAAAATTAAAAAAAAGATAGATTTCAATGTATTATGAAATATGCCATGAAAAAAGTCAGTGCGATTGTGGAAGATGCTCGGGATCGTCCAAACTAATATATAATATAATAAATAGTTAATTTGTTTATAAGGCCATAACTTGTAAACTATTCAACTTAGCGATTCCAGATTTCGTGTGAGTTATTAGACAGTAACAAGGAATGAGAGGATGCGATGCCAAAACGTTCTGGTAATAATAACGCAGTTTATAAATGTTTAATTCAAAAGTCATAAATAAACTTCTTCTGTTTATAACTTAAGTGTAGGTCTTTTGAATACGAAAGAAAAAGTACTTTACTGTTTCCTCGTGGAAATGAACGAAAAAAAAGTTATAAGCAAAAACCGTGAATTTACGTAAAAATGATACAATTCACCAGCCTGTAAACAATCTTCCCCCCATATTTATGACTGTAGAAACTAATATGTTATTGTATATAATATTTAGAATCTATAGTGATAAATTCAACTTGCCGAAACTAAAAGTCGCGAAATGGCCATTTCCCAGTTCTTTTTCCTGGCCTATATGAAAATAAGGCGTCGTTGCTTGCGTCACCTACAGCCGCCATTTTGAATCCAAATCGTGTGAAAAAATTCACAATACTTCCTGAAATCATGTACAATAAAGCCTTTTTGTTCATGACACTATATCGATTTTTCCTTGAAAATTCCCGAAAATATTATTTTTTCCAACTTCTAGAGTGACCTTATTAATGCTAAATTTTTATCATTAATTTTCCGTTAAAAAGATATTCAAATAATAATTGAAAATGAAAAACACAACTCAAGCATGAAGCGAACGAAAATTAATTTACTATAAAATAGTTCGGAGAGTAAAGTTATTTCTTTGAAGTTCAAATTACCACATAAAATTATAGTCAAAATGTTTTAAAAAACGGATTTCAACAACATTTCGAGAAAGAAATTATCAGTCTGTCTTTCTCCAACTTTATCCAAATTAAAATTAGAATTGTATACAAAATAGGTAATTAACCACTTGTGTTTATTTTAGAATACTTTTTTTTAGATTAATCTACATAATTGTATGTGGAATGGAGATATTTCAGATGGGCTTTTATCTCTAAAAAAGTGTGAGAATTTATAACAATTACAATTAATTAAAAATTTACGGCTCGTTAAGTGTTCCTAAAAAACAGGTTTGTTTAGACTCGCGACTCCTCGTAGATTATTTCTTAATACTCGGTTAATTCTGTTATTAACTTTTTCCAATTTTATTGCTCGTAATTAATGGTTTACAAGATATTTTAATACACACGTTCCTCGGTGGCACAAGGTCGTTCGATTTATATTACGAAAGAAATAATATTTTTATTATTCAGTTGGTCTGTGTTGCACAGAAGATTTTAATGTGTATTTTTACAAGCTTCACCACTTTGTTTTTAGACAAACTAGAATCGCAGCGATCTCTCCAAGGTCGTCACCTTCCGATACAAGGTGAATCTAGATAGCCCTTTTAATTAAAAAAATATTTTCGTCCGCCACATAAATCAAGATATGCCATCCCGATGATTATCAGCAAAACCTGTTTGTATCCACAGATAGAGGATCCGAGATTTTGTTAAAAGTTGCTATTTTTATTTTGCCGCTGTTCTAACAAAGAACAATTTACATATATGTATATAAATAAATAATCATATAATTGAAAGACACAATTTTTACTTTCACTTTCAATTAGAAGCACCTACATACATGCATCTGCTTTTATGAAACTAGGTAGGATTATCAAACTTAAGAACTTTGAGAATTTGCCACTGGTGTTCTGTACACCAACGTTTTTAGGAAGCCCCAAAAGAAAAAATCACATGGCGTTAG